CCTGTTCATTAGCTTTATTTTACTGGTCCCTTCCCAAGAACCAAATTTTGACTTTGATGAACAATTTGCTCATCATTTTCTCCTATCTTTTTTTATGACTTGCCTTTTGTTTTCTTTGAATTTATCCTAATGTTCTTTATTAGATAACGTTGTAAACTCGGCTTCTTAATTTTCAGCCTTTCTTTTCATTGTAAACATTTCAAGCTACACATTTTCTTACCTGTTTGTTTCATTCCACCAATTTTGACATATTTCCTTTTCATTCAGTACTAGGTAGTTTTCAGTTTCCATTTTGATTTGGTTAGAATCCTGAGCAATTTACAAGTGTTGTTTTCAATTGTAATCAAACGAATTAAAAAATATTGTTACTGCCTTCTAATTTAATTATACTGTATTCAGAGAACTATATATATGAGTAATATGATTCCCTGAAATGCACTGCAATTTGCTGTTTGGTCTAGTGTATAGTTAATTTTTAATAAATGTGAGCTAGACGAGGATGAATATTCTGTTAGGTACAAGGTTCTTTATTTACTGAATAAACCAAGACTTGTAATTCAAACCTTCCATAATGTTTAATCAGATTTTTGTCTGTTTGATCTTTCAATATTAAAAAAATGTTAAAATATTCTACTCTGATAGAATTATCAATTTCTTCCTGGAGTTCTATTGAGCACTATCTATCTATCTATACACACACACACACACACACACACACACACACACACACACGTATATATAAGTACATATGTATCTATGTATATATATGCTAAAGCATGAAGTCTATACACATTTAGATTTCTTATATCTTCTTGGTGAGCTTTTTATTTTTAGTTGTGACTATGAGTATTTCTACCAATGCTTTGCCTGATATAGACAGTTACCCCAGTTTTCTTTTGGATAATATTTAACTGATAATCTTTCCCCATAATTCTACTGTCAACCTTTCTAGGTTGCTATGTGTTAGGTATGTCTCCTATAAATAGCATATGTTGAACATTGTTTCCTACTCAATTTATCTTTTCATTCCCCAAATTAGTCTATTTGATTGATATATTTAAACTTATTTCTATTCTCTTGATTTCCTGCTGTATATTTCCCTCCACTTTATCTAGATTATTTTTTCTTGTGTTTTAAAAAATATTACTCAGCTATTTTGGTTATTTACGTTTTTCTTATGCCTTTTACCATCCCACCAACCATGAATTTATAAGTTATGCATCTTTTTAAAGATGTCTGCCTGCAATATCCCTTTTGCAATCCGGGACCCCTAGCTCCTTACCACCAACCTACTTGCAGTTCTTCACCATGCGGCTCACTGCTCCTTAGTGCTGCCATGGAGACGGCAGAGGCTCCCACCACCGCCCCTGCACTCACCAGCCATGAGCCTGGCTTCTACCTGAGTGGCACTCCCCCTGTGGGAGAGCACTGACCACCAGGGGGCAGATCCAGGGTTGAGCGTCTGCCCCCTGGTGGTCAGTGTGCATCATAGTGACTGTCATTCTGGTTGTTCCGCCTTAAGGGTTGCTTAGCCTTTTATTGTATAGATTACTATTATTTATAAGTTGTTGATTAGAGTTCCCACAATATTTCTAATTTGTTTGTTCAACATTCCTTCTTGAATCTGGAATATTTCTTATTCCTAAAGAACAGCCTTTAGAAATTTCTTTGTTTACGTATGTTTGTGGTAAATTCTTTTGGTTTTGCTCATCTGAAAATTATATGTTTGAAGAGTTGTTTCGCTAGGTATACAATGTGTTGTTATTGTTCCTCAGCCCATTGAAAATACTATTTCTACTCTTTTCTGACTTCCACTAAGAATGCTTATCCTACACATGCAATGTCTTTGCTGCGAAGAATATGTCTTTTCTCCCTGGCTCTTTCTAAAATCACTTTTCTGTTGGGTGCTGCAATTTCATTATTAGGTCTAAATATGGATTTCTCTTTAAACTGCTTGGTATTAAACTTTCTGGTATCTATGAATACCTATTAACAGCCTGGAAAATTCCTACTCAGTATCTCATCCAATGATTCCTCATTTCCAAATGTCTCTATGATCTCCTGTTGAGAGTCTAATCAGACATATCCCAGTATCTTAACCTCTCTTAGTTTTCTATCCCTTTTTCTCAGTGTACTCTGTTTTAAATAATTTCTTCTGATATTTCTTCCATTTTCACTCATTTTCTCTTCAACTGAGTCTAATCTACTGTTTAACACGTTCATTTAATTTGTAATGTCCAAATTTACATATATTTTTTACTTCTAAAAGTACTGTTTGACCCAAAAAGGCCTATTCACCTTGAGAATCTCTTATTCCTCCATCCTATTATCGATAGTCTTTTATATTTCAGACACAACAGTTTAATACCTGCAGTCTTTGAGATTTAATGCTACAGTCTGCAGTTTCTGCCTTCTCTCATAGTGGCTTATGTCCTGTGTGCTTGGTGATTGATGGTTGACAACTCATTTTTCTTAAGACCTTACCTAAAGAATTCTGAAGTCCAGTTTTTAAGAGTTATTCTTCCAGATAGAATTTTTATTTCTGCCAGGTACCTGGCAACTTTTAGTGTTTTTTGCCTCAAGCATATATTTTCAGTGCCCCCAAATACTAGGAGCACAGGCTTAGGAATTCTCAGTGGAAACATTTCTCCCTGTTTCACCTAAAGCCAAGGATGAAACAGAAAACAGCCATCTCCTTCTTCACTAGGGACTTTTAAACTGTTTAACACTAGGATGTCACTCTTCAGGGAATCTAACTTTCTCCTTGTCTTTCTTCCTGTGGGGGCCCAAGTTCTCAGGCACAGACTTTTAATAGGATGGCTGGTCATATGATTTGCCTGACTATGATTTAGGCCTGTTGTCCCAGTGTAACACATGGCATTCCCTCATTTGAACAATAAATTATAGTCACCTACTTTTTTTCTTAATCCTTATCAGAGAATAAGATTTTATTGGTTTGGGAGAGAGAAGGAGGGAGAGAGAGAGAGAAACATTGATGTGAGAGAGAAATATCCATCGGTTGCCTCCACTACATGTCCCGACCATTGAACCCACAATCTAGGCATGTATGTGCCCTGACTGGAATGGAACCCAAGTCCTTTTGGTACACAGGATGACACCTTAACCAACTGAGGTTAAGGTGTGCCAAGGATAGTCACTTACTTTTAAAACAGGTTCACAGACACCACAGATCAGCAGGTGCCCCTAGTAGCAAGTGCCATATCAAGCTGCTTTTTGCTTATTCTCTGGATTTTCATTTCATCATTCATCCTGGCCTCTGCTTATTTCATACTTTGTGGACTGATGTTTAGTTGTTCTTTACAGGGTTGGTTTTATTTTCCTCCCATCTGAATGTCTAGTTCATACTATTCTTGGACATATTCCTGTGTATGTCACCTATTTTCTTTGTTACTAATAAGTGTAAGACATATCGAAGGAATGGCATAAATGCCGATGGAGAAAATGAATGATGCAGGTACTTCCGTTTTGTTTCTAATATTTTGCAATAAATTTCAAGTGTATTTAAAAAAAAGTATTTTCAACTCTGGTTTCATTCTTTGGAAGATATGAACTTGAAGCTGTTCATCACAGCACAGTTCATATTTATAAAAGTTGGGAAACAATATGAAGGTAACAGGAATGCTATGTAAGAGAAGAGTACAAAATTCTATGAGCATGCTGACCATAAATAAGCTATAACGTGCGCCATAATGTGCGCCTGTGGACACGGGGCTAGGAGCCAATGAGAAAGGATTCACCAACCAGAAATGCAAGGATTGGGCTCCTTTTGCTTTTTTTAAACTTGCAATTATCATTACTATAGTGTTATGTGGGCGATAAATATACATTTTAAATAAATAAACTCCAGATGGATGCATGGATCTATTACCTCTCTGATAAAGCCAGAGAAGCAAAAAGCACAGTTGGTGTCAGACAGGTCTGGGTCCAAATCCTCGATCTACCACTTAATAGCTGAAGTTAGCTCTTCACTTCTCCAACTGTAGGTAGGAAATTCTGACACACCTCTGGCCATGGTCCAGTAGCTACTTTGGTCAACAAAATCCTAGCAACAAAGACTCAAGCTTTCCTTGTGTGCACTCTGGCTTCTTCTTCCACCTCTGCTTTGCCACCAGAATAGACCAGACAGGCCAGCTGATGAGCTGTGGGGGACACTGGAGGACAGCCACCAGCCATCCGATCTGAAGCTGACCATATGCACTTGGTTAAGTTGGGAAAGTCAGACAACCATACAGCCAATCTATACACTCACCAACTAAACAAACAGTTGCTGCTTTCAGCCACTACTAGCATGATTTGTTATGCAGCATTATCTTCTACAGAAGATAGCTGATACATCCTGTCTCCATCATCTTTCTACTGTCAGGCCCTACTGCTATGTTTGGTACCGAGAGACCCATGACGAAGGCTTTGCTGTCACCATCCCTTCTCCTGGAGGAAGAATGAGACATCTATGTTTGTGTCCACTCCCCAACCCACATACCTATCATAGCACCTGCCATATCTTTTACATTTATTTCTACATGTTTCTCTTCTCCTCTAAGCATGAAGGACTTGAAAGTAGGAAATATGCTATTTGTATCCAAATCTACAGCACCTGGCACAGAACAGGCCCACACTGAATGTTTTTGTTTGAATTACATGATTGAATTTTGGAAGCTCACATAAACCAATAGGACTGGCAGCAGGTGGCAAGGATAACCACACAAGCTGGCTCTGATGCCCGGAGGCCTCCTGCTTTTCAGAAAGCCCAAACAGGAAGAGAAATGGGAAAAAAAAAAAAAAAAAGCAAACCACTACCAACAAAGGAGAAAAGCATTCTTTCTGGTCCCCTCGCCTTATCTATCTCACCACATGCACACAAACTCAGCCATTCACTGCCACCTCCCCGCCAGGGTGCTCCCCAGCCAGCTTCCCTCTGGCACCATAGGGCACCTCCCTCCCTGCTCCCCAAAACCCTCACCCACATGTCCCCCCTCTACCTTCAGATCAGACACGTCCCGGTAGCACTGCTCGGAGCGGGTGTGGTCCGACAGCTGCACGTTCCAGAAGCAGGGGAGCTGGTACACAAGGAAGGGGTTCTGTTTGATGACGGCGTTGAAAATGTCCTGTGGGTAAAAGCCAGAGACACAGGGGCACGGTCAGGTGGGTCCCGTGGATGCTCTAAACGAGCTGGTCACACCACGGGGCACTTTCCCGCCTTCTCTCTCTGGGAACCACGGAATCACGTCTGCACGGAGATGGGGCATGCCCAACTCAGGGGTCCTGCTGGCCTCAGAGCACGCACCATATGGCAAGCATACGTGGGGGCAGACAGGAAGCATTTCTGGTTTCTGCCATTGAGCCGGCCTATAATAAACGAAGCCACTTTTCTGCCCCCTTTCCCACCTCATCGAGGGGCCCCTGTGATCCATCCCCAGCCTCCCGGGAAGGAAACTGCAGGATGACAAGCTGCGCTGCTCACTCAGGGGCTGAGACAAATGAGAGCTGCGGCTGCTGTGGCTCTTGCCGGGGCTCCTAGCGGACTTAGTGATGGATGTGCCTGAGCTTCCCCATGGGCTGTGGCTCTTGGGAACCCACTTCCCACTTCCCCTTCCAGCCCAGCCTGCTTCTTAAGAAGCCTCACCTCCCTCAGCTCTTCTCCAAGCTCCCTGGCCAGGCCATGCTTATTAACTAGCTGCTGACAGGAGATGCTGGGTTGAATGACGGGTCCCCGCAGCCGGAGGTGGCTGAATAAACCATCCCCGCGGGCCATGGACATCCGATTGCTAGCTCTGCGGGACACACACGCCAGGTATTGTGAGCGGGCTTTAGCCCGCGATGTTGGAGAACAGATTTCCCCTCAGGTTGGAAACAGCTACCTGGGTAATTTTTAACTCATTCGTTATACCGGATCTCGTGTTTGAAAAGGAAATTGGTTTTCTGGCTGCTTGGGAAATACTGCATAATGATCATGCCAAAAAAAAAAAAAAAAGTCAAGGAACCTCACAGACTTTCTCCTTTCCTCCGTATTAGAAAACTTTGCAAGCATTCCACGGCTCAGACAATGGAACGCGGAACAAACCGCAGGGTGAGCTCGCTTTGTGGATGAATGGGGAAGGATAAAATGCAGGAAGCCAGAGAAACTGTCTTCGCATCTCACAGTGGCCATTTGTGCCACGGGGAAACTCGTAATTAAGAGCCGGGCAGAATCCAGATCAAAGGCCTGGGCCCTGCGGCCCCCAGAGAAAGTGAGAAGTGGGGATTTTTATGATCTTATGTTAATAGTGTGGGGAAGAGGCGGGACTTTTTCGGATGGCCTGGATGAAAAGCTGGCTTCTCCAGCCAGGCAGTGTGTCCCTTTTCTTTCCATGCATCTCCCTTGGGGACAGAGTCAGGGCACAGGATCCAGGCAAAAAAGGCTTTGCTCTGCAAGTCGGACTCTACTGCCAGGAAGGCCGATGGGACCTTGTCCAGAACCGTGCTGTGCGCGCTGGCATCTCAGGGGGCAGGCCGGGCGCTCTCTGCCCACCGACCTCCCCGTCTCACACCAAATTATCATTTACTTATGAGTCCGCTTCAATACACAGCGAGCTCTCTGAGGCCCAGGCTAGCGTCCTTCTCTCATGTCTGTAATCCTGTATCTGAGCACAGCGCCTGGCATGCCCAGCGTGTAGTGCGGGCCTGCGGCATGAACAAATGCATGAGCAAATGCATGAACTAAGGAAATAAACCCATGGGCTAAGCTGTCTTCCTAGACGGGCCAGGTAAGGCAGATCTATCCAAGGGTACACAGCCACACCGTCGGCAGAAAAAGAATGCGAACCCATCTACTGCCAAGTCTGTTAAACAGCCCCGGGGTCCTCAGGAAGGACCGTAGCTTCCAAGCAGGCCACTCACCTGGTCCGCTAAGGACGTGGACAGCATGCCCATCAGCTCTCTCTCGGCGGTCAGCCTCCACATCTGCTCCCATTTCATCTTCCGCAGCTTGTCCAGAAGCAGCAGGATCACCCCTGGGCAATAGCATAGGATGGAGGGTGAGCAATGCAGCAGTGAGACGGAGCCAGGCCCATCTGCCCACTAGTGTCGGAGCTGAAAAACCTGGGTTCGATCCCAGGCTCTGCCAGGTGCTCAGTGAGACCTGAAACCACCTCATCTACTGAGATCATGAATACAGGTCGCAGGCTGCTGTGAGCACTGAGACAGGCACAGGCCTAGCCCTTCCTGGAGGTGGGTGGGGGTGATAGTCGCACAACAATGTGAATGCACTGAATGCTGCTCTTCAATATGGTGAAATGGCCTATTGATGCTATGCATAGCTCACCACAGTTATTTAGACAAGAGCCCACCTCTTGACTGGAGACGTCATATACTTCCTATAAATATTAGGTTTTCTGCTATGTTTTTCCCCCCAGAGCTATGATAACCTACCTGGCTTCAGCTGATGGATGGTGTTTGGACAATACATGCCATTTATCTTTACAGACAAAGAGCAGCTCCCCTGTGACTTTATTCTGGATACGCCTTAGCGATTTGCTTTATGTTTAGTGACAGGCCCTCTGAGCTCGATTCAGCGTTCCTGATTTTGTTGGGTTTAAGCCCACCACGATCCCCACATGTGCGAACTACTACGGTGAAGGGCCTGCTGGCACTGTGTCTTTAAGACGAGCTCCCAAAGCCTTTGGCTCCATGAGACACTGATCATCGGAGGTGGCTTCCTCCTCCTCCCCACCTTCCCCTGCTTTATTGTTGCCGTTGTTTATTTTTGTGGCAAGTGGCCGGGGTAAATGGGTGATAGCGTAGCCAGGAAAACTGCCATTATATAACCTTCTGTGTTAAAAAAAATATATATATTTTATTGATTTTTTTTTTACAGAGAGGAAGGGAGAGGAATAGAAAGTTAGAAACATTGATGAGAGAGAATCATCGATCAGCTGCCTCTTGCACACCTCCTACTGGGGATGTGCCCTTGACTGGAATCGAACCTGGGACCTTTCAGTCCACAGGCTGACGCTCTAACCACTGAGCAAAACCGGTTTCGGCCTTCTGTATTTTTTAAATGTTAAAACAACTTAATGTATTACTCAGGCAAAAAAGGAATCAACTTTAAAATAAAAGTCTAAAAAGAAAACACATTTTGGCCTAGCTGAGTGGCTCAGAAGCATCTGTCTACTACCCGGTCAGCGAGAGCCTGCAGCGAGAAGGCAGCACAGCACTCGGAGACCAGAGAGTTTCCCAGGAGGCACTGCGGTTAATTTAGTGGGTGGAATTGTAGCACCCTTGGACTTCCAGGTCAGTCCGTCCTCCTCAGGATGCTTAGCTCAGCAGAAGGGTCAGGGGAGAAAACGCCAGGCAGCTGAGCAATGATCTTCATTGAGACCCCGTATATACATTTCTAAGATTGTTGGAAAGAAACTAATTCTCCATGTCACACAAAGATGTCAACACTGAGACTTTTTACTTATGCCAGGGGCACATATTTGGAGAAAAAGTATATCGAAATTTAAAAATAAATTACACACACACATAGACAGATAGACATACACACACAGTCATAGAAAGAATGGGATATATGCAGAAGCCTGAACTTATATAAGTCAGAGATGCAAGTTACACCTATTGTTTATCTCCTTTGTGCTTTGTTAGGCTTTTTTCTTAGGATATTATTTCACTTAACACTCACAAAATCGCTACAAGCTAGATCGTGCCATCCTTATTCGATAGGTGGGGAAACTGAGGGGCTGAGACAGGCACTACAGAATAAGACTGGTGTGTCTGCCTGACTCTAAACCAGTGCTTCTTCATCTACACCACACAGAGCAGAGCCCCAGCAATGCCTCATTGGGGTCCTGGGACTCAGGCCAAAGACTTTTTCCTTTTTTGACTATTGGTTTCTACTGGTACATGCGTAACAGTAGAAAACTGTTATTCACCCTGCACAACTCAGAAAACTTTCGCCCTGACCCCTCGTGGTAAGCTCGTAAATGTTTAATCACCAGCCTTCCAGATAAAAAACAAACAAACAAACAAACAAAAAAACCCCCCACAAAAAACCCACAAACAAACAAACAAAAAAAACCACAATTTGTAGCTTTTGCCCATTCCCATGGTGTAAATACTCCCATCATGGCTGATTTCAAGCTACCAATGTGATGTCTTTAAACACCAGTTGGGAAGAAATGTGCCCAATTGGTCCAACTGAGCTGGTGTGAGTTAGCTCTAGCACACCACTAAAATTATTCCCCATACACAAAAGCACTTTCAGTAAAATAGTAAGATTCGGCACAGTGTGCCATTTGATGGCTTCCTTTGGAGAGAAAAGGAATAAACATTTGCAGAGTTACAAACCAAGAGAATATAGCGATGGATTCAGGAAAACAGATTCCAGTCAAAGCTGTGAAAGAGAATTTCATGAAATCTCATGGCAGAAACGAATTCTAATGAGGTTGAATAGATGCTCCAATACAGAGAAGAAAATGTGGGGCAGGAGCTATACACCATGGCGAGATTCTCATGTACGTTGTACACCCATCCGTCTCCGCAGCCTGAGCTGAGAATCGATGCTTTTTAATGGCGTGAAGACTTGGCGAATCCTCAGTGGCAGATGTGATTCCACCGAGTTTGCCAGGCTCATTGAGAAGGGGGGTGGGGGTGGTGGTGTCTGGAACAGAAGGCTAAATACAGACATCCTGATCATCCTCCCTGTTAACAGCCTCTCCTTTTGGGTGGTTTTAATTCAATTTTTAAAAGCATGAGCTATTGTAAACCAATATCATAAATACCCCTGACCACGGTGTAATACCTGCTAATATATCGCCACATGGGCTGTTCATGATAGAGCACTGCAGACAAAACAAGAGCTCCTCCATCTCATTGGAGCACTCCCTTCCCCCGGGGTACCCAGCATCAGGAGAGGGTCCGGTTTCACTGCCAAGCGTGTTTTTATATTTTATTCCCTCCGCATATATTAATTAACGCCATATGGTGTTTTTAGAGTGTTTTTATAGCGAATACTTTCTACTCACCCAAAGCTGTCTTCAAGATTTAACCATGTTAAGAGTTCAGCTACTTAGTTTATACATTGTACTCACTGTGCTCATTGTATACATATACCACATGTATGTATGCATCCTCCTACTGAAGGACTCTTGGCCATTTCCCATGTTTCTGCCGTTACACACCGTGTTGCAATAAACATCCTAATCCCAATTCACCGCACACGTGTTTTTCTGGGAACACATCTGAGAGCTTAGTTGGGGGACCACCTCGAAAGCCGTGCGAGGACTGCTGTGCCGACGGTGCTACTTGTCTTCCAACATCTGGAATGACTCCGCCTCTCCTCTCCCCTGCTTTCCAGATGTCCCCCGAATCTCGGGGATTCTACCTTTAAGAAGGCTTTCTCAGCTCTTCGTTTACTCGTGCATCCAACAGCCATTTCCTGAGCACCTATTCCATGCACACTCACGGAAATCCATTGCATACTTTTTCTCATCTCATGGGTTTCATGCAAATTATTCAGTTAGCACATATTTCCTGGGTGGATACCATTCAGTCTTTGCCGGGCCCTTTTGTGGAAGACAAGCAAACTGCTCTGATTCCATGGGATGACTGTGAACAAGGAGAACTCGTGCCACTTAGGAAGGAAACCCAGGAGAGGCACCCCTGCCGGCAGGGTTTATGGGATGCATTTCCTTGGGTGCCGATGCTTTGAAAGACCGCTTCCGTCCTGTATGTGGAAAGTGCTGGACACTTATAAACAGTAAGAAATGTGGCCAGGCCCAGAGTCCTGCTCAGGGTTCTGTCAATCGTCAGGGTAGGGTGTCACCGCCAGAGTGATTGTGACGTCCCTCAGGGTAATTGCATGTGGCCACTAAGGGATATCACTCACAGGAAGAAAAAAAATAGTCAAGGGGGGAAAAAAATCCACCACAAGGAAACGTATATGCATAAATGATGTCCCTAAGCAGCTGAGGCATCTGGTTAGTTGTTACATATAACCACACCGATACGGGCTTATACCAGAACCTGACTGTTTCACCAAAGGTTAAGAGGTTGCCCCCAGATTGTACGAGAACGCAACGCAACACTTTCAAGAGAAGCACAGCTCTATCTGCTGACCTCCCTCCTAGGCTGCCAAGCAGGCACCCTAATTACGATCGTCAAGGGCTTTGAAGCTATGAAATGGCACATAAAAAGCTTATAAATAACAGTCACCGAAACTATACACTTCCTCATTAAGGTGCCTCGTTATCCCTCGCTCCGCTCTCACCATTCCCGGTAGAATTAACACAAATGACATGCGTGCCTGCGATGTGGGAGTACACTTTTTAAAAAATATATTTTTTATTGATTTTTTACAGAGAGGAAGAGAGAGGGATAGAGAGTTAGAAACATCGATGAGAAAGAATCATCATCAATCAGCTGCCTCTTGCACACCCCGTACTGAGGATGTGCCCGCAACCAAGGTACATGCCCTTGACCGGGATCGAACTGGTCTATCCACTGAGCCAAACCGGTTTTGGCGGGAGCACGCTTTTTAAGCACACGCTGCTTAAGATGATGAAAGCGGCTCCTTCCGAAATTGGACCCTTTCAAGCTGAAACAACACCGATTTGGCTTTGGAGCGCATGTCCTCGAGGCAGCCTCTGATGCCGCTCAGGCCTGCTGCCAGGGTGATGATGGTGCCAAAAAGCTTGACTGTGGCCTTTGCCTGGCATTTGCTCCAGCGCGATCCATCCATTTCCCTACTGGCCAGCGGGGGCCCGGGAGCATGGAGGGCGTCCAGAGGCCAGCACTCTGCACGGGGGGAAGCAGCACCCCTGAAATTTGACAGCGGCTCCCAGCGGAGCTGACTAGATTGCACGCAGCCAGGAGGGCTTCACCTACAGCTGCTGTGGTGGGAGCGCAACAGACCAACACTAAATAAATAAATGAATAAATACATTTAAAATCAGAGGCTTCTCCGGCGAACAGCTGGTCTAGGGGTAGCACGCTTCATCTGTGGATCAGGGGG